AAAAAAAAAAAAAAAAACAGCCGTTAGAATTTCTTGCTTTCTTCTGAACTCATCAAAGGGCAGCCTTGGAATATACAGGTCTGGAGTTCTGCAGCTTTTGTTAAGCTCCCAGTTAGAAAAGTAGTATTGCTGGTAAAGAGGAGATTTGTTTCAGAGCACTAGGACAGAATTATCTATAATTAGAAGAGTTGCTAGACCCCTGTAAGAACTAGTCTCAGCCAGGTGCAGTGGCTCACACTTGTAATCCCAGCACTTTGGGAGATGGAAGCGAGAGGGTTGCCTGAGCCCACAGGTTCAAGACCAGCCTGGGCAACTTGGTGAGACTTCATCTCTACAATAAATTAAAAAATTAGCTAGGCAGGGTGGCACACACCTATAGCTCCAGCTTCTTAGAAGGCTGAGGTGGAAGGATCACCTGAGCCCAGCAGGTTGGGTCTGTGGTGGTTGTGAACGTGCCGCTGTACTGCAACCTGGGCAACAGAGTGAGACTCCAACTCAAAAAAAAAAAAAAAAAAAACTAGTCTCTAAGTTCCTAAGAACAAAAGCATACTCCACTACTTGAGCTGTGTACCGGCAACATACACAGTGTTACTTCATGCCAGGAGTTTGACCATAGAGAAAGGTTTTAACAAAACCAGGGAGCATGAGGTGAGCACTTTAGGAAAAGGGCAAAACAAAATTATTTCTTGTCTTCTCCCCTTGTTCTGCACCCTATATACACCTAACTTTTAGGAATACACGGTGGTAATTCCTAAGCCAAAACATATACCAGAGGAACTACTCTGTCTTCATTTTTAAGTAATATTTCTAACTTATTTTTTAGCTACAAGGATGGCATAGTGGTTATAATTGACATCAGTAAGAAAGGAGAAGTTATTCACAGGCTTCGCGGCCATGATGATGAAATCCACTCCATAGCCTGGTGTCCCCTGCCTGGTGAAGATTGTTTATCCATAAATCAAGAGGAAAACTCAGGTAGAGATGATTTAAGGGAATGTCCAGTACTCTTTAGACCTGAAGAACGAAGTGGGTAGAATTGTATCATTTGAATTACACTTAAAACTTTAGATTTTATAGATCAGACCTATGAAAGAGATAAGTTTTGGGAACCTTTACACACTAATTTTTCTTTGATAAATACATGTTTAATGCAAATTAAAAAACAAAATTATAATCTTTCTCCTAGAAGAACCTGAAATTCCCAATGGGAAAATTATAGCACAAACTCTAGTAACAAAAGGCTGCTACTTAGCCACTGGAAGCAAAGATCAAACCATTCGAATCTGGAGCTGCTCTAGAGGCCGAGGTAAGATCGATGTTTTCTTTGTGATATAACCTGTGTTGATCCAGTAGAAACTGATGATTTTTTCTTGTGTCTTACTGTCCTGAGGGTGTGTCATCTGCCTAAAAGCAGCTCTTTACTTTTCTCTCCAAAAATCTGCTTTCCCAGTTGAACCTGGGCTAAAACTTTGCTCTGAACAGTTGACTTTAAAAGTTAGAGATGAACGTTTCTGCTACATTCCAGAGAGCAAGAACCCCTGCTTTATAGAAGAGTCGCTGCTTAGCATAGAAAGCCAGGTGTTTGTTGTAAGACCAGGAATATTAGAACATGACAAGGCCTGTATCAGAGGGATAGAAAAGCTCTCTAGAGTTAGAGCTTTTAATGCACGAATGCAGAATAAATAATATACACCCAGCCTAGAAGTGTGCTTAAATATAAAAGCTCAGTTTATTGAAATTGTGGAGGCCCTTAGTCATTTAGCTTTCACAAACTTCTCTTTGAAAAGAACTTTTGCATTTTTACATTTAAGTTTATAAATTGAGAGACACTCCAGGCAGAATGAATATTACTTTAATAGTAAAAATCTCCCCTTTCTCTTTAGAGTGAGCTTTTCTTCTTTCTCCACTTTATTTAGTAGTGTTAAATACATTCATAATGCCATGCAACTATCACCACCATCCATCTCCAGAGCTCTTATGGTGTAAAACTGAAACTTCATACCCATTAAACAATAGCTCTCTATTTGCCTGCCCTCCGGACCCTGACAGCCATCATTCTACTTTCTGTCTCTCATTTTGACTACTCTTGAGAACCTCATCTAAGTGAAACCATGCAGTATATGCCTTGTGCTTAGATTATTTCACTTACTATGATGTCTTCAAGGTTTATCAGTATTGTAGCATATGCCAGATTTCCTTCCTTTCTAAGGCTGAATAATATATCACTGTGTGTTTGGGCCACAGTACGCTTATCCACTCATCCATTGATGGGCGCTTGGGTTGCTTCCATGTTTTGCCTACTGTGAATAATATAGCTGTCTTTCCAACTTTGGAATTGTGTTACTACTTTTGCGTATACAACTCAACTGTGTTACCACCTGGGTTCTCAGTTCTAGTTGGGAATTCATTTTGCCAGATAAAAAATATTTTAATGTGTTTAGGTGGCCAAGACAGCCTATGAAATCTTGTTGACCTAAATGTAGCTAGATTAGTATTAATCACTATTTATAATGATGTTTCTATGGGAGGATGTGATCTGAATTCTAAGTATCCAAACAAATATGTAAACCACAGTGTGTTGTGAACTGCTGATGACTTCATGCATGTAGTTTCACTGTCTTGAGTGCCCATTGATCTTCTTTCAATCTGCAGGAGTGATGATTTTAAAATTGCCCTTTCTGAAGAGAAGAGGAGTGGGTATAGACCCCACTGTTAAAGAGCGCCTTTGGTTGACACTTCATTGGCCTAGTAATCAGGCAACCCAGCTGGTATCCAGCTCTTTTGGGTAAGTCTTTTTTGATCATACTTTCTCTGCTGTTTTGTTTTCCATTTGGCCTCAGAGATTCCTAGGCTTCTCATAGACATGAAAGATGGAGAAAGGAATGGCTGAGGCTTGTATTATGATGGGCCATTTGAAATGGAAGAATAATGCAACTGAATAAGTATAGTCTGGAGGTTAAGAGGGTGAACTCTAAAGTCAGGCAGAACTAAATTTCAGAGTCAGTTTGTTACTTACCTGCTTTGTGTACATGAACAAGACCCGTTTCTGATTTCATTTGATATGTAGAAAGAGGAGCTAGGTATATTATTTATTATCTGTTAGGGAGGTTATAGCTGTTCAGCGAACACAATTTATTGACCAATTGTTGGAACTGAAATGAATTTAGCAGACAATTTCCCTCCTTTTAAATTCAATCATACAGCACATAGAAATCCCCCAAAATGTTAGCTGTGGCTTCACTCCCTGTTCTACCCCAAAAAAGAGATATGTCTTAAAGCTTTGGGGGCATTTGATAATTAAAACGGTAACAGAAATCTGTTTAAAAGGCCCAGTACATTCGCATGATTCAAAAAGAATGAAAGTATATAATTATCTTTCCCATCTCTGTCTTCCCAGGTGTGCTTTCCCAGAGATACTTTGTGCATATTTTAAAGTATTCTTCTCTCATGAAGGAACAATTAACAGAAATTGTTTTGTAACTGTGAGCTCAGATTCTCTAACTCAATCACTTGTTTGCAGATTGCTTGTGAAAGAACCAATGCTTATGTTTTTTCCTTCACAGAGGCGAACTTCTACTGTGGGACCTCACCCAGTCTTGGAGACGGAAATACACTCTCTTCAGCGCTTCATCAGAAGGGCAGAATCATTCAAGAATTGTGTTTAATTTATGTCCTTTGCAAACTGAGGATGACAAACAGTTGCTACTTTCCACATCAATGGATAGAGATGTGAGAACTTTTTATTTGCATTCAGTATTACAGAGCAGTGATTTACAACTTGGGTGGGATGAGAGAGCTTTTTCAAACCACCATCAGTCTTCACACCCTACCCTGGCTCCAATTTCAAAGTGACTATTGCTGATCAGCACTAAATGTATCAACAGTACAAAGGAAGGGGAAATGATAAGAACCACGAAGATGCTGTTTTGTTAAAGCAAACATAATAAACAAGAGTAGGTGTGTTCAGGGAAGGACGTGTGAGGTCCTCATGCTGCGATTTATCCTCATCTGCAGTTTAGATAGCAGTCATCTGCACTTGATGAAATCCTCCCGAGAGAGAATGGGCTTTACTTAGCAACCTGCAGCCTTCCTGTTTTGCAATTAAGCTACGCTTATTTGATAGACTTTGTTTTCTCCCAAGCCCCTCTGTTAAAAAAGTGCTGATTAAAACTTGTCACTCCTTCCCTGGGTATGATAAGATGATTGCTTTTTGAGATGGCAGTTTTTCGATTTTTCTACTGTGCTGAGGCCATCTTCATCCTTAGAGTTTGCCAAATGAAGTTTACCAGTGCTGTAATAGGGAGAAAGACCACTGAACTCTGGAAGACAGGAGGTATGGGTTCTGATTTATTAATTGTGTGACCCTGAAATCACATGACATCTCTGGGAACAATATTCTAAACTCCTTTTGAAATACATAATTTATTGCTGATTTTTTTTGTAAGGGGTGTTTTATTTCAGTTTCTACTAGAAGACTTATGTATTATCCTTATCCACTCTTTGAGCCTATCTCATTCGAAATATTGGATTATTTTTCCTGTTTTTCTCCCCTTTTTTTATATTTAAGCCATGACTCTTAATCTTTTCAGGTAAAGTGCTGGGACGTGGCCACCCTGGAGTGCTGCTGGACCCTGCCTTCCCTTGGTGGATTTGCCTACAGCTTGGCTTTTTCTCCCGTGGACACAGGCTGTTTGGCCATAGGCGTTGGGGATGGCATGATCCGTGTATGGAACACACTCTCCATAAAGAACAATTATGATGTGAAAAATTTCTGGCAGGGTGTCAAGTCCAAGGTTACAGCGGTAAGGATGTTTTCTTTGAGCTTGTTTTGAACTTTTGCTCAAATAAATAATTCTGTTTTAGAAAATACCTATTCATTTAAATGAACTCTATTGGGACTTAAAGATGTTTTCAATGATATTTGAAACTAGGAAAGCAGAAGGACAGTCAAACCAAACCCATTTTCCCCCAAATTTAGAGTGGATGTTTATTATGGTTTTGTTTACCTCACTGTATTTTCTAATAGTAAGAAATTAGAAATAACCTGATTGTATATTCATAAAAGATATATTAAGTTAGCCGGGCTCGGTGGCTCAGCCTGTAATCCCCCGCCTTTGGGAGGCTGAGGTGAGTGAATTGCCTGAGCCCACGGGTCCAAGACCCACCTGGGCAGGCGAGACCTCAGCTCTACAATAAATCAAAAAATTAGCCGGGCGTGGTAACGCGCGCCTGTAGTTCCAGCTACTTGAAGGCTGAGGCGGAAGGATCGCCGGAGCCCAGCAGGTGGAGCTGCGGTGGCCGGGAGCGGCCACTGCACTCCAGTCTGGGTGACAGAGTGAGACTCCAACTCACCAAAAAAGATATATTAAGTTATGTAATCACATGGAATGGCTCAAACTGTTAAAAATGACGATGTATATGCATCTTTGATGTGGAAAGATATTATAAATGATTCATGAAAAATGTAAATTATAAAGCATGGAATGCAGGTTATAAAACTGTGTATAATCTTTTGTTTGCTTTTCTCTAGAGTGATACCTCTACTGTGGCTTTTAACCTAAAAGCAATATATTTTTATGGTTAAAAGAAAGCCAAAAATACTGAAGTATAGAAAGCAAACATTCTTTCCCTACCCTCCAGTCCTCTACTTCTATAGCCCAGGAAACACCCTGTTGACAGCGTGCGATACGTCTTTCCAAATTTTGTTAATTACTGGAGTCATGTTTTCTAAATTGTTCTGAAATCTTTTACTCAAAATCTAGAGTATATCATGTACATCATTTAAATGTTTGAATTTGTTGTTTTGGTTTTTTTTTTTAATTGTGTGTATCTGAGTTTATTCATGAAAATATTTGGAAAGAGAGATACAAAATTGGCAGTCGGTTCTTTCAGATGGTGAGATTACAAGTGACTTTAACTTTGCTTTTAATACTACTTTGTTACTTAATGAAAGCTAGAAGAAATCAAGAGCAAGAAAGTGTTCCATTTGAACACGTAAAAGATAATGTAAAGATTCCTTTAATGATATGTGCGTTCTCTTACATATTCTCCCTTGGGAACTCTTTTTCTGTAGCTGTGCTGGCACCCAGCCAAGGAAGGTTGCTTAGCTTTTGGAACTGATGATGGAAAAGTGGGCCTGTATGACACCTACTCCAACAAGTAAGAAAGAGGTGCCTTTCGCTGAGTTCCCTGGCCAAAATCTGTGATGGTTTTCATTCTGAGTTCACAAACCTGGATGTACATCAGAAGTACTTAGGAAGCCTTTTAAATGTAAGACTGTGGCTCTGAGACTGAAGTTGAAAACTCACAGTTTTACACTTTAAAAGTATTTTCAGATGGTAGTGATTCCGCCCATTTGATCTTTTGGGAACCCCTGAAATAAACTCTGCTTTTGTTTTTACAGACGTTTTCAGATATACGTGAAAGTGGAAAGGCTAGTACAAAGAACATCTGTCTATCTACTTTCTGTTTAGATTTACCAGTTGTTAACATTTTGCCATTCTTGTTTTATCTGTGTATATGTTTCCCTTTGCAAGTGTTTTACCTGACACATATGAAACAAAGTTGCGTATCTCATGACACTTCTCCCTTGTAATTCTAAGAGTAAAGGCATTCTCCTGTATAACCATAGTAACCTAATCACACTTAAGAAAATTAACAGTAATACTGTAGTATGGTCTCATACAAATTTCCTTATTTTAGCCAAAAATGTTTTTTTCAGTTTAGAGTTCATACATTGCATTTCATTATAGTCTTTATCATTTTGTTATATCTACTATAATGTCCCACTTTCCTTTCAGTAACATAGCCTTTTCAGTTTGAAGTTTCTAGATAAGTTGTTTAGTAGACTATTCCATGTTTTGGACTCATCAAACACAGTGGAGTCATGGCAGAGACCACATGGCTCACAAAGCCTGAAATATTTACAGAAAAGATTTGCCCACTTCTATCTTAGATCATTCATTTCTTTTTTTTTTTTTTTTTTTTGAGTTGGAGTCTCACTTATCACTATTCCCCATATTATCTGAAAACTGGGAGTTATGTCTAGAGCTACACTGTCCATTACAGTCATCATTACCCATGAGCACATGAACAGTGGCAAGTCCAAAGTGTTGTGTATAAGTGGAAAATACACACCAGAGTTCCAAGTCTTAGTATTTAAAAAATAATTTAGGGTTGGGTGCAGTGGCTCACACCTCTAATCCCAGCCCTTAGGGAGTCCGAGGAGATGTCTTGAGCCCAGGAGTTCAAGCACAACCTAGGCAACATAGCAAGACTTGGTCTGTACAAAAAATTAGCCAAAATGGTGGCATATGCTTGTAGTCCCAGCTATTCAGGAGGCTGAGGCAGGAGGATCGGTTGAGCAGATTGAAGCTGCAGTGAGTCATGAGCATGCCACTGCACTCCAGCCTGGGTGACAGAGTGAGACCTCCAACTTTAAAAAAAAAAAAAAGAAAAGCCCGGGTGAGGTGGCGCATACCTATAATCCCAGCACTTTGGGAGACCGAGGCGAGTGGATTGCCTGAGCCCGGGGGTTCAAGACCAGCCTGGACAACTTGGTGAGACCTTGTCTCTACAATAAATCACAGAAAACTAGCCGAGCTTGGTGGTACATGCCTGTAGTTCCAACTACTTGGAAGGCTCTGAGTAAGAAGGATCACCTGAGCCCAGCAGGTCGAGGCTATAGTAGGCTTGAGCATGCCACTACACTCCAGCCTGGGTGAGACTCCAACTCAAAAAAATTTTTTTAATTAATTAACAATTATTTTAGTTTGTTTACATTTTAAATAATATCTTAAGTGGTTGAGGAGAAAAATCAAAAGACTTTTATGACACGAAGATTAATAAAGTTCAGATTTCATTGTCCATTAATAAAGTTTTATTGAAATAAGCCAGGTGCAGTGGCTCACATCTGTAATACCAGCACTTTGGGAGGCTGAGGTGAGAGGATTGCCTGAGCCCTGGGCTTTAAGATCAGCAAGAGCAACATGGCGAGACCTTGTCTTTACAATAAATCAAAAAAAATTGTTGGATGTGGTGGCACATGCTTACAGTTCCAGCTACTTGGAAGGGTGAGGTAGAAAAATTGCCTGAGGCTCAGCAGGTTGAAGCTGTGATGGCTATGAACATGCCACTGTTCTCCAGCCTGGGTGACAGAGTGAGATGCTGACTCAAGAAAAAAAGTTTTTATTGGAACACAGCCACACTAGTTTTTTACGTTCTGTCTATGGCTGCATTCATACTCCCAAACACAGTGGAGTCATGGCAGAGACCACATGGCTCACAGAGCCTGAAATATTTACAGAAAAGGTTTGCCCACTTCTATCTGAGATCATTCGTTTCTTTTTTTTTTTTGAGTTGGAGTCTCACTCTGTCACCCAGGCTGGAGTGCAGTGGCCGCTCCCGGCCACCGCAGCCTCGCCTGCTAGGCTCCGGCGATCCTTCCGCCTCAGCCTTCCAAGTAGCCGGAATTACAGGCATGCGCTACCACGCCCGGCAGATTTTTTGATTTATTGTAGAGATGAGGTCTCGCTGCCCAGGCAGGTCTCGAACCCGCAGGCTTAAGCAGTCCACTCACCTCAGCCTCCCAAAGGTGCAGGATTACAGGCTGAGCCACCAAGCCCGGCAGATCATTCATTTCTTAATGAGAATCACTTATTACATTGTAGAGCTCTCCCCTCTTTAGATACAGTTCAAGTACTCGTGTGTAACTCATTTAATTCTCAAAATATTATTTCAAATATTTATATACAACTTTGAAGACCTATTTAAAATACATAAATAGCTGTATATTGTCATGAGTGCTAATTCTGTTAAAATGTCCTGGTTATTATAAGCTGAATGTTCAGACTTAACAGTACAAAAGCCATGATGGGGAGGGGTGGATATTGGTATCGAGATTTGTTGGGCATTCAACCAGAAAGAACTGTTTATTTCTTTTCTTTCTTCTTTCTTTCTCTCTCTCTCTCTCTCTCTCTCTCTCTCTCTCTCTCTCTCTCTCTCTCTCTCTTTTTTTTATTGGAGTCTCGCTCTGTAGCCCGGGCTGGAGTGCAGTGGCACAATCATAGCTCACCACAGTGCTCACCTCCTGGGCTCAGGCAATCCTTCCACCTCATCCTCTTGAATAGCTGGAACTACAGGCACACACCACCACAACCAGCTAAGTTTTTTACTTTTTTGTAGAGACGAGGTCTCGCTATATTGCCCAGGCTGTTCTTGAGCTCCTGAGATTAAGCAGTCCTCTCACCTTGGATTCCCAAAGTTGTGGGATTGCAGGTGTGAGCCAATATGCTCAGGCAGAACTGCTTATTTCTTTTAGCCAAAGAAATTTTGGTTCATTTACTAGAATGATCACTATAAATTTGTCAGATAATGGAAGTAAATAAGTCATTCATAGGTTATGGAATTCTAAAATCATATAGTGATTATAATTTATATTAAAAGTTGTAACAAAGCTGCCCTTTTTTTCCTACAAAGCCAAGCATTCTTTACTGACATTACCACAATAACCTTAGAAAACAAGACTTCTTTAAAAGACAGTGAGTAGCAAAAAATCTGTCTACTCTAAAATCTTGTCTCAGTTTAAGGAAGTGATGTCAATGGCGCAAAAGAAATCTAAAATGACTTCTAACTTTTTACTTGACTATAAGGTGAATTCATTTGGATGATGATAATAAACGTTCTGGCAGGATGGGTGAGAGTAGCTTTTTTTTTCTGACTGAAGCATGTCTGGTATTAATCATTTTGGTCATCGCTATTATATGGTTTGTTATTTAACTGCTTACTTTTTTTTTTTTTGAGTCGGAGTCTCACTCTGTCATCCAGAGTAGAGTGCAGTGACTGCTCCTGGCCACCATAGCCTCGACCTGCTGGGCTCCGGCGATCCTTCCGCCTCAGCCTTCCAAGTAGCTGGAATTACAGGCACGCGCTACCACACCTGGCTGATTTTTGATTTATTGTAGAGATGAGGTCTCGCCAAGTTGCCCAGGCGGGTCTCGAACCCGCGGGCTCAGGCAATCCACTCACCTCAGCCTCCCAAAGCGTGGGATTACAGGCTGAGCTACCGAGCCCGGCTTGCTTGCTTTTTTATAGTCAACTATTTTGGTAAAGGATACTGTTAGATTATTTTTCTCCAATATCAGCAACTAAGTTTATAATAAGGACCTATTAGAAAAAAATGACTTGTTTTTCAGTATGCCTCTTTGTTTAACTCTTTCTGTTTGTTCTCTCTGCCCTTCCAAAAGGCCTCCACAGATTTCTAGCACATATCATAAGAAGACTGTATACACTTTAACCTGGGGACCACCACTACCCCCCATGTCATTTGGTAAGTGTCTGGGCCATTCTAAACAAATAGAGAGTATTCTCTTTCAGTTTAATCCTAGATACTGAAGATGGAAATAATCATAAATGTTCTAGTGCAGTGACTATTGATATGAACTGCTGTGTTTCCAGGAGTTCACAAGGACAGTGGTGGCAGGTGACACATCAGAATTGCTGGGAGAAACCATTTACCTGTAATAAGCTTCCTAAACTCTTAACTAAGGCATTGTTTCTTTTCTTTAAACTGAAATGTTTCATGGTACATATAGTTGTCTTGCGCTGTTCTGAAACCTAGTCTACTATTCTTCACTAAAACCTACATAGTTTTATCAGAATTAGAATGTTATTTCAGTATATTAATGAAATAATGATCATCCGTATTCACTCACAGTTAAAACAAACTTAGAATTTCTGAAATGGCCAGGCATGGTGGCTTACACCTGTAATCCCAGCACTTTGGGAGACCAAGGCGAGAGGATTGCTTGAGCCCAGGAGTTTCATGACCAACCCAGGCAACATAGCAAGACTTTGTCTCTACTAAAAATATATATATATTTTTTGAGTTGGAATTTCACTTTGTCACCCAGGCTGGAGTGCTGTGGCATACTCACAGCCACCCCAGTATTGACCTGCTGGGCTCTGGCGATCCTTCCATCTTAACCTTCCAAGTAGCTTGAACTGCAAGCCTGTGCTACCATGACTTGCTATTTTTTTTTTTATTTTTATTATAGAGACGAGATCTTGCCAAGTTGCCCGGTCTGGTCTTGAACCCGCAGGCTCAAACAATCCACTCGCCTCGGCCTCCCAAAGTGCTGAGATTATAGGCTGAGCCACTGAGCCCGGCCCTAAAAATTTTTTTAAAGCTCAGTGAGGTACGGTTGTTCACAACTGTAGTCCCAGCTACTCAGGAGGTTGAGGCAGAAGAGTGGCTTGAGCCCAGAAGAGTTCAAGGCTGCAGTGAGCCCTGATGGTGCTATTGCACTCCAGTCTAAGCGACAGTGAAACCCTGACTCAAAAGAAAAAATGTCTCTGATGAACTTTACTTAACCATCTATTATGAAGCATCTGTAAATTCCTGTAGGAATTGCATTACATAGAGAGAAGAAGTAGTATAAATTACCAGAACCCAAGCAGCATTGGAATTTATAGTTCACTCAACAAATGTTTATCGGATCCTTGATTTGTGATCTAGCAGCAGTGAAAGTCAGAAACCCTCTGGAACCACTGTTTGCTTCTTAAAAGTTGGCAAAAGGATTGCTATAATACTAAGGAAATCCCAGCCTTGAGTACAGCTCCTTGTAGTTAGTCAGGAGGTCCTGCAGCTCCACATATTTAAATGCTCAAAGATAGAAAACCCATTTCTGAAAAAAAAATAAACTTTCAGGAGTTTTGCTTTGAGAACATGTATGTTATTTTCTGATCTCAGCCTTGGGCAAAACACTTGCAGCTGCATTTGGGCACTATATCATAAAGCTCTTTTTACCACAGCAATGGTAAACATAATACCAGAAGAATGTTTAAAGCAAATATGTTGTATCATATATATTAACATAAGAGAATTACAGTGATCTACTTTTTTTACTTTTCCCAACACCTGTGTTCAGATAGAAAAATAATGACTTTACTCTGATGTATTTGACTGTTTCAAATATGTGATTCTTTTAAAAGTGACTTAGAGGCCAGGCTCTGCGGCTCAGCCTGTCATCCCAACACTTTGGGAGGCGGAGGTGAGTGGATTACCTGAGCCTGCAGGTTCGAGACCAGTCTGGGCAACTTAGCGAGACCTCGTCTCTACAATAAATCAAAAAATTAGCCAGGTGTGGTAGCACGTACCTGTAGTTCTAGCTACTAGGAAGACTGAGGCCAAAGGATTGCCAGAGCCCAGCAGGTCAACACTGGGCTGGCCGTGAGTGTACCGTTGCACTGCAGCCTGGGCTTACAGAGTAAGACTCCAACTCAAAAAAAAAGGAACTTAAGAGTATGATGTGGTCATGCCATAGCAACAAATAATTAAGCTGATGAAGTACAAACCTATGCTTTTTTTTCTTATATAGGAGGAGAAGGAGACAGACCTTCCCTTACTTTATACAGCTGTGGAGGCGAAGGCATTGTCTTTCAGCATAACCCCTGGAAGCTTAGTGGAGAAGCCTTTGACATCAACAAACTCATCCGAGACACCAACTCAATCAAAGTGAGTTCTTGTGGGTCCTAAAGTCTTTTCTTGCTCTTTCTACATCACAGGTTCCCATGGGTCCCCCATCTTGCATAATAAATGCCATTACTAGAGAGAGCTATCATGCTAGGTCAGATTTCTTAGAAGTTTTATAAGATATTCTTGTAATAAGACTGTGAGTGAATTGGTGGGTTATAACATTTATAACCCACAAACAAAGCGAAACAAAGAACTACCCCCCCAAAAAATGTCATTGTGATTTCTTATAAACTTTCAGATCTTGTATACAAAGCATCCTTTTCAGACCAACCATTTATTTTTTTTTATTTTTTTATTTTTTATTTTTTGAGTTGGAGTCTCACTCTGTCGCCC